CACGTGTGTCGGGTTTCACCCTGGCTGCGATGACAGCCGTTAATCGCTGTAGTGTGTCGCTCCCCATGTGTCAAGCCCTTAAGACGTGCTCAGAGTAATAGTCTGCTTCATAGCTGTGCCAGAGGATGCTGCCGGTCCAACGGCTGGCCTTTTCATCAGGTGACCTCTGCAGCTCACACACCGGTGTTATGAAAAGGAGCAAACCACTCTGAACACTCTTATAAGGTTGAGATAAACTGACAACATGAACGCATTGAGTGCTAAAAATAAAGAAACTCAGGGKTTTTTTTGCATTTTGGAAAAACAGATTCTTGTCCTTTACTTACCTTCTATCTTCGGCCCTGACTTCATGCTGAGACTTCCTGTCATRGCCGATACTGACAATGTGATGCTGGGCCTCATTGGATGGGCTTCCGTCTCCATGAAAACAACAACCTGCGCTGAGTGGAGGGAGACTTTGTGGAAGGACAGTGCCAGCGTCCCGACAGAGCTGCCTTTGGCCCGGGCCGAGGCCTCGCGGTGGGGGTCGGAACGAGGAGGGTTCACCCTGTGAGGGGTCTTTTTAGGGGACGACTGAGGAGAGGAAGAAGCAGACGGGGGTTTACTGGAGGTGTCCCCCGTGTAGGTCGGCAGGACTTTGTGCAGGAAGGCTTTGGCCTGCTCCAGCTTCGTCAAAGTGGGGTTGATTTTCAGAGGACGAGCGAGATCTATGTTCAGCTCGGCTGTGGAAACAGGAAGACAAACAAAACAAAAGATGAGAGGGAAAAAAGATTAAAGACAGGAAGGGGGAACAAATAAAAAGAAAACAGAGCATTAAAGAGCAACATTAAAATCTGTGCAGTCAACACAACATCACAAACAATTTCTCAGTAGGCACTCTTAAAAGAGGTCTGTGTGCTCATCCTGACTCGTATTTCTGAAGTRCTGAGTGTCGAAGACGTCCCAGCAGGAAGCAAAGCTTTAGGGAAGGTAATAAAAATATACTCTCTCAGTAGTACACACTCATGACAGATCTCTGTTGTGTTTGTTTTTGGGAAATGGAAACTTCTCATGACTGGATGCTAATGAAGATTCAAATACATTTCTTAACTGATCAGCTCTTTTCATTGTCTTTCAATCTGTGTCAAACTGGGGACACAAACTGAATACATTCATAGTTTGCAGGGGTCTTAGCTCTTAAAAAACCTGCCCACAATAAACTGGTCCCAGTCCATAAGAGGGTTTTAAGACACGCAGGCTTCATCAGTGCCTCTGAGCAGATCTAAAGCTGTGCAGGCCATGGGAAACTCCGTGGTACTGTATCTTGTAAATGAAACTTTCTGCTCGTTCTTTATCTAGTCACAAAGTTTACATGTAGTGAACTGGCATGCAAAACTGGGTTCATTCTCATTATTAAGACATACAGTGGCTGGCTGCCTCAGTCCATCATCCTAACATGATACTGCAGAACAGCAGATGAAAATCTATTCTTCATGCCAGCGACATAAATCAGCGGCTACTCTCTCCAGATCCACCTCACTCCTTCACTCTCTAATGCACTGCTGCCTTCAAACACTTGACTGGAATTTATTGAGACACATGAAGGAACTGAATGCCGTTTTACACCACTTCCATTATCCCATTTTTCCGTTTGGTCATGATGATGGGAGGTGGAAGCAGCCAAAAACAAGCACAGCTAGTTTTCATGGCCTCATTAGGACCCCAGTGTTTTAAAGATATTGAAAGGTTTTAGGCACTCTGATATCCTCCCGCCCAGGTAGGTGCACCGGATGATTTGAGTTGGTTCACACACACAGGTTTGTTTTTATAYCCCTGTGGGGACTGTGGATTGACTTCCATTTATTTTTTGGTAATTTTATATCCTAACCCTGACCACTTACCCTAAAATTAACCTCACAGGTACCTACCTGACCCTAAAACTGACCTAAACTCAATTCACACCTTCGTCCTAAACCCGACCCCCCAACCCATAATTAATATCCATACCTGTGGTAAAAAGGCTGCCTTTTTCTGGATAATGGTTCCCCACAATGTAGCAAAAAAGTGCCCACACACACACACACACACACACACACACACACACACACAC